GAGTTGTGGGTCCTGGAAGCTCCCTGGAAAGGGACAGTCTGCCCTGCAGTGGGAGGGCGCCCAGGGCTCGCAAGGGTGGACGCCCCGTTGTAGTCCCTCATTTGGCGGGCTCCTGGGTCTCCCCATCCCAAATGGGCAGGGAGCCCAGCCGGCTGGGGCTGTTCTGATACAGAGCTCTGGGGATGGCTCCGTGGGCGCCAGCCCGACTCGGAGGGGGGCCTCGGGAAGGCCACCAGGCCCCAGGCTCACCCGGGCACCTCGCCTGCCTAAGGAGGGTGCTCGGTGCTCGCCAGCCCCTCCAGGTCCCAGCGGCTCTGGCCCTTGCTCAGTTCAGTCTGAGGGCTTTTCGACACAGCTGTGGGGGTGGACGGACGCCCATGGCGGGCTGGCGCCGTGTGCAGCCGCCTCGCTCTTTCTGGAGAGCCTGTGTCCATGCCTGCACGGTAAGAGGATGCTCAGCGAGAAGGGCTCCGGAGACACCGCTTCATAATTCTCCAGCCAGAGAGGCGGGCGGACGGGCGGGCGGGTGGAGGAGCCGAGTCCCCCGGAAGGCCATGCGGCATGCAGCCACCGTCTCGCCAGCTCTCCACGGCCGTCATCTCATTCTGGCCTCATCTCAGGGGCGGCGAGGCTCAGGCTCAGGCTCAGGCTCAGGCGGGCTTTGTTGCTTCCCCAGGCCACGCAGCAGGGCAGAGGCAGGGCCGAGCTCCCCGGTTGCTAACAGCCCTGGTGTCCTGCGGCTGTCCTAGAAGCTGTGGCAGTTCTGGAGCTCCCGAGGGACAGCTGAACCCACACAGGCCTGCTTGCCAGCTGACTGAGCCATAGGATGAGCGAGCCAATGGGCCGACTAATGCGTTCATCCGTCTAGTCATTCACCCAGCACGGATTCGTGGGTGCCTTCAAGGGCACTTCCTGCCCTACAGCTGCCAATGCGGCACGCGCCAGGCAGGAACGGCCCGTCCCAGCAGTCCCGGCCGGCACTGACCTCAGAGCCCGGTGCCCTGCACCTGCCAGCTCTGTCCAGCCTGCCTGTGTCTACCTGGAAGGGCCACCGTGCACCTTCTAGACCCGCCTGCCCTGGACACGGTGGTGTAGGTGCGTGAGTGACACGCATCGAGTCAGAGCAGACTGGCCCAAAGCTGGCCCCTTGGTCATTTGGGTGCCACGAGGGCTCCGGCCAGCCCCACCAGCACAGGTGCAGGCGAAGCCAGAGTGACACCACTCCCGAGGGCCATGGCTCCGTAACTCTGCCACGTTCCACGCTCCACGGTAAAGTGGGACAGGCGTGGCTTTGGGCAGTGGGCCTGGATCAGAAGCCTCGTTCCCAAGGATGGCCCACGTCCCACGAACCCTCTCCCGCAGCTTAAGCCCCAACACGGAACTACAAAGTCCTGGCACTTCCCACGGCCCTGAGCGTCCGAGAGATGCCTCTTGTGGTTTTAGCCACTCAAGTCGCAGTCGGGACCCAGTGGGGGCCCTCTGCACCGGCGGGATGACCACGCCAGGTCACCTGCGACGTCACTCCGTCCATGGCTCTGCCGGCGTCCCCCAGCCGCGGCCCAGTGGTCTCAGTGGCACATGGTGCTCCTTCCAGTTAGAAACAAGGCGTCGGCCCAGCTGGGGGGCACGAGCACCACGGTGGGAGGCCGGGCCGGGTGGGGGGCCTGAACACTGCTCCTGGGCCAACCTGAACAAGCTGTGAATGGGCACGCCTGGAACCCTCGCTAAGCAGGGTGCTGGAGCAGAGGGGTGCAACCCGAGACCCCATCAGGGTCACCTCTCTTTCTCCTTCACTAAAAGAAGGAAGATATCAAACAGGTATGTTTGGGGACCAGCAGTTGGCATAATGGCTATGTCGCCGGACTCCCACGTAGTCGACCACAGTTCGTGTCCTGGACCCGGTGGCTTAAACTCACGCCGGGCGCATGTGCGTGCGTGCCCAAGATCCCAAGAGGAGAATGGAGGAGAAGGGATTGCGGCGTGGCCATCCC